GAAGTTTCTGTTCACCTATGTTACAAACAGTATGTGTAAAAATATTAATACAGAATCCTTCACTGAGTTCAACCTATCATCTTACAAATGTAGGAAAAAATTACTTGTAGCTGCACGTCATTAGCAAGTTTTTTCTTGTTGCAACAATTGTTAAGTTCACTCACTAAGATTAATACAAAATTTAGTCTAGTGCCAGACTCTTCACAAGCATGCAAGAAATAACGTGTCAACCAAGTTGGTTCTAAGCACACTATCAGTGTAGAAGAGAGTATTCTTTCTGCTCAGGCAATCTTATGAATGCCTTCAAGTATACTATATAATGTGGATTAACATTTTTAAAAGTTTACTATGAAATAGCAAAACCCAAATAAAAATCTACATTTGCCTTGAACAGCTGAAAGAGGCAACATGCAACAAGGCCACAAAGTGCCAGATTAGATTCTCAATTTGCAAACTTAGCTGATCCCATCTAAGATGCCAATAGCATCATCACAATATGGGTCTAAGCTACGAAATACTATGTCTCTACTCCTAATGAAAATGAAACAAAGTACCGTGCGCCCTGTTATGCGACAAACTGCCCATAATGGATACTGAAGGAAAATCCTACTGGGCACAGTTATGGGTCTCTACATGCGTTAAGTAACATGTCAATACACAATATCAAAAAAAAGCATCAAGAGTTATCATTATTTATTGGAGAGCTGCTGGTATTCTTGGGTTCTAAGGCAGACATCCCATTCAGGAAATAAGCTAGAGGGAACAAAAGCAATTATTTGTAGTTACCTTTGAACAGTGAATGACCTTGACCACAGCAGAATTACACCAGAACAACGACATTCAAGAAGCTTGACACCATCCAGGAGAAAGCAGCCTGCTTGATTAGCACCATATCCATAATCATCCACCCCCTCCGCCAATGATGCTCAAAAGCAGCAGTGTGTACCATCTACAAGATACACTAGAGGAATTTACCAATGCTCCTTAGATAGCATCTTCCAAATCCATAACCCCTTCCAGTTAGAAGGACAAAGACAGCAGATACCTAGGAATACCACCAAGCACATTCCCTTCCAAGCCGCTCTCCATCCTGACTTGGTAATAAACTGCCATTGCCTCAGTGTCATTGTGTTAAAAATCCTTGAATTCCCTCCCTAATGACACTGAGGGTTTACTTACAATACATGGACTGTAGTAGTTCAAGAAGTTCACCACCTTCTCAAGGTGAACTAGAGATGAGCAATAAATACTGACCCAGTCAGCCACATTCACATTCTAGAAATGAATTAAAACAAAAAAGACAGCAGATTTTTACCTACCTATTATTTGCAGGGCAGGACTGGATGGGTGGGCATAGGTGATGAGTCAGGAGTACAATAAGGGATTGGAAGGAAAGGACTGTGTTTGACTTTAAATTGTGTTGACATGTCCAAAACCAATTACATTGAGAAATGATTTCCAGTTTGAATTTCACAATTTAAGTAATCTATTTGGGTTTATTTAAAATCTGACTGGCATATTGGAAAATATCTTAAGGAGCAGTCAAGTTCCACTAGCTGCATAACCAACTCATAGGTAAATATCAAACATAATGTGATTTGTATTGCACAATCCTCAAAGTATTTATACAAGATAACCTCCTATGGCATTGCAGTTTGGGATGCAAGAACAGTTGCATTAGCCCACTTCATCAGCTGGCTTAGAGAGCAAGGAACAATTGGAATACGTGGAACCCTAAAATCCTACATTCTGTATCATTCAATAGTAATTATCTGTAAATAATCACAAAAAGAAGTAAAACTTGAAATTATTTCCAAAGCAGAACTTACTGATGTGCAATCCAGCTCATTAACTTTTACCAGACTGCTGCATTTTTTAAACTTATTTATTCACTCATGGGATGTGGGCAACACTGGCTGGCCACAGGGGTTGGTGCTGGGGCTCTTGCTGTTTGTGAGGTTCATTAATGAACAGTGGGGGTATGATCAATGAGTTCATGGATAACACACAAATTGGAAGGGTGATAAACAGTGAGGAGGATAGCCATAAACTGCAGGAGGGTATTGACAGAGCAGTTGGCTGGTCAAAGCAGTGTCAAATGGAGTTTGTGTGAAAAGTGTGAAGTAGTGCACTTGGGAAGGGCTAACAAAGCAAGACATTAAACTATAAATTGTAGGACACTGAAAATTTCTAAAGATCGCAGGAACCTTGGTGTGCATATCCACAGACCCCTAAAAGTAACAGGGCAGGTAGATAAAGTAATTAAGAAGGTAACAAAACAGAAATTGCTGGAAAAGCTCAGCAGGTCTGGCAGCATCTGTGAAGGAAACAACGGAGTTAACGTTTCGGGTGCGGTGACCCTTCCTCAGAACTCTTGATTAAGAAGGTATATGGGATACTTGCCTTTATTAGCTAAGGCACAGCATACAAGAGGGAGGTTATGCTGGAACTGTATAAAACATTGGTAGGCCAGCTGTGCGCAGTTCTGATCACCACATTATAGGAAGGATACGATAGTACCAAAAGGATGCAGAAAAGTTTTATCAGGATGCTGTCTGGTCTGGAGGATCTGAGCTACGAGAAAAAGTTGGATAGGCTGGGGTTGCCTTTCTTGAAGTGGCAAAAGGTTGAGTGGGTACCTGACCGTACTGTATAAGATTGAGGGGGGTAGATAGGTGGGGAAAAGAAGGCATTTTCCATTAGTAAAGGGGTCAACAACCAGAGGGAATAAATCTAAGGTAGAAGGTACAAGGTTAAGAGAGTTGAGAAGAAACTGTTTCCATGAAGAAAAGAGTTTAGTATACAATTTTAGTCAGATAATGTATTAAGAAAGCCAAACTTTACGAGGAGTTTTAACAGCGATATAATATAAATGGTCTGTTCTCATCACTTAGTTCCCGCAATTATTTTTCCACTACATAGACCTCTGAGGTCCACATGCAAAGTGGCTTCCAGAACAAAATGCCAACGTGAAACATTTGAGTAGCTGCACAGCCATGCAACTTAGAGGGAACCCCACTCAATGATTCAGTTATTTCTAAAATACTGCCTGTAATCTGTGGGAAGTGTAACAATGTACCATGTGAAGGAACAGAAAATTACTGACTGCTGACTTCCAAATTTCTGAATTTCAGTTTAACTTTGCATTTGCAAATATCAGAACTTGTTGACAGTTTCACACGGTAATGACAGCAATCACTAACAATTCAAGTTCTAATTAAAAACTTTACTGAAAGGTTTATAAGACAATATACTCAATAAGTTTAAAAAAATGAAAGATACAATTTTTTCACTATTAGCTAAATTCTTAAATTTAGATGTGAAATTTCACTCTCCATGGACAAAATTGCAGTTAGAAATATTTTCCACGAAGCAATTTGTGGTGAAAGCATGGTGCCTCACAGAGGCCAAAGCCTGCAACTACAGATGTCTGAAATAGGTAAACCTCATAACACACAAACAAAGCTTTTATATTAATCGCCATATGACAGAGGGTTTTCACTGCTGAATACATGAAATGTGACACCAAGGTGTTACACACACTTGTCCTTTTACGGTGGCAGATACCATGGTATCCAGAAGTCTACCAGAGAGATGTTAAATGCCTTACTAACGTGTACAAATCGGACTAATATAGTGTAGTTGTGAGCCCTCAACTTAAACTCTGCTGCTATCCAAGATTTTCAGTAAGGAAAGAAAGGCAGGGGCTGCAAGATCCGTAAGCCAGGAATTTAGTACTACTGGTGGGCCAGGAAGAGTGCTTGCTTCCTGGCTGCAAAAAAGATTTTAGTCTCCCCTCTGCCAATTGCAGCCTGAATTTCGACCCCAAACTTTCAAAGTCACACTATGTCCTTTTCCCCTACCTACACCTCAACCGACAAGCAATTCATTATAGTACAATTGTGCCTTGTTTTTGATATCCCCTCACCCATGTACATAATAGGGCCCAAAGGTCTTTGCCACAATCAGGGATTCATTTCGGGATAGGCCTACAGGTTAGAAGTTATGAAAATGGCTGCATCTATGCACCAAATTAATGAAGAAATTACATTCAACAATACATAAAAGCTACTGCAATAAGGAATTAAACTCAAAAAATATTGAGCTAAATGCACGCACAGCTTTCGTTCAAGCAAGAACCAAAAAACTGCAAGATATAACTACTCAGAGATAGTAGGAACTGCCGATGCTGGAGAAGCTGAGATAACAAGGTGTAGAGCTGGATGAACACAGCAGGCCAAGCAGCATCAGAGGAGCAGGAAAGCTGATGTCCCGGGTCTGGACCCTTCTTCAGAAATGCTACTGCAGCTTTAACTTATTAACTGCCAATTAGTTAGCATGCTCAAGACATAATAAGGATTAAACAAAAATCCTGAAATCAGCAATCGCAGAAGTTCAAGTACAGTATCAAATCTGCTTCAGATGTATGTACTTAGCAAAGATAAATGTAGAATGGCACAAACATGTATTTAACACAGTACAGTTATTTTTATTGAAACATGAACTATCAATGCTTAACTCCTTACATTAAATCTAAGCAATTTCTCTCAAAATCCAAGTCTGAACTTGAATATCTAATCTTTGGATTTGTCATGGATCAAAGAATTTTCAAAGGTGGCATTAAGCACTGGTTCTGTGCTATTAAGCACAACAAAGGGAAAAGATGGTGATTCACCGCCAATTTCCTCCAAATAACAACCTGCTAATATTGAACAAACTACAAACAGAAACGGCATTCTCCTATACCATTTATTTTTCACTTTAAGGAGGCAAACAAATAAATTATTGGCCTTATTGGAACGAAAATGTTGAAAAATAAGAAGATGAATACTGTGTTCCTTGATGACAAATGCAGTGATACAACACCAACCAACTTTGAATTGACAAACTAATCAATATTTTATACATAATTCTAAAATGTAATGAAAAATCAGATTATTGATTGCAACTGATCATTTCATTTTCTGTTTACAATTTGAATTCATATATATTGTACTTACCATACAGGCTTCCCTGGCTTGTCCTACTGATGGATCTTTCTCGATAACAGTTTTATAGTCTTGCAGTGCTTCCTCGAGTTTTTCAGTTTTCTCATACAACTCTGCCCTTCTTAGTATTGCACGTATGTAATTGGGATTTAACTCAATAGCTACAAATTTAAAAAAGAATATTCATCAAAATAATATAAACCACAATTCAAATTCTTCAGTTCTATGGAAACAAGGACAAAAAAGGCAAGTGGAAATATATTTTTAAAAGGTTGTAAAATCCAAGTTACTAAGCTTGTTTTATCTAACAATTTATTTTTTCAGAAAATAATTTAAACATAAATTTTACCTTTGGTGCAATCAGCTATGGCTTCTTCCTTATTCTCCTGGAATAGAAAGAGTATCAGAGAAAAAAATTTCGCGAGAACAATGATTTAATTAAAAAAAAGTTTGTAAAACTCTTCAGTGCAAGTTAATTGCACTTTGACAACACCTGTGAATTTCAAAGCAGAATTTTCCTCGATTTCTTTCTGCCAAATCTGAATTGCAGAACACAAAATAATTAGAACTTTAAGTTGGAGATTGCAGGATCTAGTTCACCACTTGATACTCCACCACTTGATATATTTTATTATCCAGCAATATGCATGTGTCATATGCTGGCCTTTCATTAGAAAAGATATTTATTTTACCATAGAAATAGAAAATAATATTACAAAGAACTTAAAACAAAAACAAGAATCCATAATTTCTTCATATCCAAAATAGCAAAATCAACCCATTTTATTACAAAGGACTGATATGTTACATTCTTAGCAGGCCCGTGTCCATTTCTTAGATAAATGCGAATGCTGTTGGCTAGTCTGCACAACACCAATGTTTTATATTACAAGCACAAACTGAATGGTGCATTTTCACTTGTTCCTTGAAGTAGTATGATGGATAAATTTACAAGAATGGATTTAAATCTAATGAAAAGATCAACTGTTTCCCCATGTCAAGAGCAGGATTATGATTAGCTGCATCTTTTTGTGGTTAAATGACTTGTCAGTATTTATCATTAGAGTCACGAGTAGTTAATGGAGTTAATGTAGTTGACATCATTGGAATTGTAATTTAATAGAGTTAGCTAAATTGGACATTGTAACTAGCTTAAATTTCACACAGGACTGAATCATTAGTCCACTAGAGTCATAGAGATGGACAGCACAGAAACAAACCCTTCAGTCCAATTCATCCATGCCAACCAGACATCCTAAATTAATCTACTCCCATTTGCCAGCATTTGACCCATATCTCTCTGAACCCTTCCTAGTCACATACCTACTCAGATTCCTTTGAAGAAAACCTAACTTGTCCATCAAATGTTAGCACAATGACTAAATTTACTTGCAGCGACTTTCTGGTACACAAGTATTTATATTGCAAAAAAAATGGAGAAACTGTAATAACGAATTATCTTATTGTTAAGCCAGTGTGACCAAATCAGAGAATTTTATCTCACAATTGCCCCTACATTTCCACTTAGCAAACAGTAACGTAACTGAAGAAATAGGATGTTTATTAAATGAACCAAAGAATCAGGAAGAACCGACAATTTTACAAACACTTATGTACAAGTCACTGGTTGGAGGTGCTGGTATCTTATCAGTCCTTACAGCCAAGATGCTTGTGAATAAGATCTTTCATCCTTGCGTTCAAAAACATATGCCAACTGATTTCTTGGAGGAAAACTGTGTTAAAATCATTGTGAAACAGACATCAACAACTAACATTTTTGTATTTCAAAAAGGAACTGGATTCCTAATATTGTATAAAGCAGTCAGCCAAGTCTACAATTAGGTGCCTGTCAGAGAAGACAAGGACAGCAGAAGTTAAAACACCAGTTGTAAAGATACATCATGCCAAATTTATTTCTATGCAAATCTGAGCATGTTTGGCTTCACCCAACTCCACTCAATTTGCAAACATTAGTTGTCAATAGTTTACTCTTATCATTGATGTTGGCAACCAAATCTCAACTTATTGTCTGAGTAGACGATAGTCCAGTGATATGATCACGAGACAATTAATCCAGAGAGTCAGGTAATGTTTTAGGGACAAATCCCACCACAGAAGAGATGGTGGAATTTGAATTCAAAAATAATCTGGATTTAAGATGACTGCCATTTGTCAGGAAAAACCCAGCTGGTTCAGTAATGTCCTTTAGGGAAGGAAATCTGCTCTCCTTACCTGGTCTGGCCTACATGTAACTCCAGACCCACAGCAATGTTGTTGACTCAAATGCCTTCTGGGCAATTAGGGTTGGACAAAAACTGCTGGCTTAGCTATTCACCCGTATCCCATGAATAAATAAAATAAATGCAAGAAACCTGCTCATTGAGTCAATTTGCTGCAAACAGAGCACTGCTTCCTCAAACAGGTAATGGTCGTCTGAAGTCAACACATCTGTCCTGCAGAACAGTTTAAGGCATAACAAGAGGCGTGCTTACCTGTTTCATTCTTGCAGCAGCACGATTGGAATAAAGGATAGACCTGTCCTTTTGGTAATATGCTGGACAAACACTAAGAGCTTCTGTATAAGAGTTCTCAGCTTCTGTATACTCTAGAAGTAAAGACAACATTGGTATCAGGTTAGTTTGTGGCTGTTCTCTACTAAAAGTGTAAAACAATTTAAGGAAAAGTTGGGTCTGCAGAAGGGATCCAACTTGCATTATTTTTTTCATTGACGAGGAATAGTGGATGCCTGGCAACATAATGCAATTCTGTAATGAAAATGATTAATCAGACTTCCAATTATTAGTCAGAGTAATTTAACACTTGCTGGAAGCTACAGATTCACATGCAAGACCCAGTCCTTTACAAACAGAAAGAATATGCCCAGGCATTGCATCTTCCTCAGTCAAACATAAGCCTGGCAGATAGCTATTCCTGAGGGTGCACTGTCCATGACAATATCTTGACTATTCAGAGTCCACATGCCATCCAATCATCCTTTTTTTGCCATGCAGTGCAAGCTGTTGCTCCCCATGAAATTTGGCATTCTTGTATCGTCCTGATGAGAAGTTCAAATGCTTTGATAGAATGTCTCTTTCTTTCAGCAGTAAATCAAAAATTGATTGTCCTTACAGGAGACATTTCCACCAAAAGACTTCGATTAAAGAGCAGTTTCAATATTCCAACTTTTTGTATTGTTTAATATTTAATTAACCACATTCTAAGCTATTGACTTGGATATACTTACTGCGCAACACAATATTGTGATGAAATCCTCTAGTTGCATCTAGTTGTTTTTTGTGCACTGAGAAACCCTGCAAATTATATCATGATCGTAGAGCACACCACCAAATTTGTTTCTAAATCCCAGATGAGCCCCTAATTGGTTAATATATGGTTAGATACCAGTAACAGAGATAGTAGGAACTGCAGATGCTGGAGAATCCGAGACAACAAGGTGCAGGGCTGGATGAACACA